TGACCATCGAAGGAACCTCCAGCCTTCTCCCCGCTTCACTGGCCCTCTCACCCCTCCTACCCTGGCCCAGCTCGGGAAGTGCCGGAGGAACCGTCGAATTGAACTCTCCTTAGGATCGCCAAAGGTCCGGTCTTTTTGAACTAACTTAAGAAACAGCAGTCTGTGTAGCCACATTTCAACCCGGCCAGGGGACAGAGGATCACATATAACGTGACCTCAATGCAAAGATGCCCAGACCGCTTCGATTCTCCGCTGCGTCTACTTTAAAGCTCTTCCGGTTTTACCTTCCTTTCCTTCGGCGGTGGAAAGAGCGCTCAAGTGGTCAGCGGTCAAGAGGCCTTCCCGAGACAGTCAGCACTCCCAGCTCTGCCCATTACCAGCTGGGGGTGTTGAGCAGGTCGTTTTACCTCCCTCCAATCTGTTCCCTTTTCCATGGCCACTAGGACACTTAGCGAGACCAGGAGCGCCAGGGTGAAAGAGGAGCAGGCTCAGGGGCCCAGCCCTCGGCTATGGGCCGGGGACGCAGAGAACCAGAGCGAAGTCAGGTGGGAGAGGAACTGCTCCAGGCTCAGAATAACTTTCCCTGAGTCCTGGCCAGCTCTGCCGTCTTCTCGGGCCTCACACCACGCTGTTGTAGTCCCTACATTCAGCTAGTGCTGGCTTCAGCTTCCAGAGCACCAGGGCCACTCTCTGGAAGACGGCATGCTTTTCTGAGTTGATCCTTTCCTAGCTCATCTCCTTACCCCCTCTTCCCACCCAAATCACTACCACTCACCTCCTCCAGCGTTTAATGGCCTCCAGAGTACTCATCCCCCATCTGTGTCCCCAGCTGGGGACACCCCAGCTTATTTGGGAAACTGCAACCACCCTGGCCAACGGCCCCGCCACGCCCTGTCTAGGAAACAGAGGCCTCCCCCGGTAGCTTGTCCACTGTGCCCCTGGCCCTGCATGAAGTGCCATCAGATGCCCCACATCCCTGCAGCAGGGCCCTCGTGACTGGGCTCACAGATGAGGACACTGAGACCCAGGGAAGTCACTTGCTTGCCAAAGTCACTCAGCAAACCAGCTAGGCCTGGAGCCCCTGCGGTGGGAGCAGGAGGGCCCTGCACACATCACATGTTCTAGTGTCTGAAATCTGAGACTCCTTCCCATGAGATTACTGTCTAATCCACTGGTGACAGTCCAGCTGCTCACCTGTCCCCAGCCTCAGCTCTGGTCCCCAGGGCCTGCACACTCCTGGCAGGGCATCCTGATAATTAGTGCAGCCCTCCCCTTCTCCCTCCCCCCAGCCCCAGGGTGGGGGGTGTCTTTAATGCATACCCCCTGGGAGTTCACCTTTCTCTTCCTGGCGGCCACCCCACAGGAGGTGTCCCTGCCCTATGCTCCAGCATCAGAACAAGCCCAGGATCCATGAGTGCAGCCCCCTGTCCCTGTGCGTTTCCTCTGGTGACAGGATCCCTTCGTGCCAACAACCCACAGGGAAAACTCCCCGAGTGTCAGAAGGGGCAGCGTGGCTTCCTGTTCTTGGTTGCCGTGGTTGGGTTTTATCTGGGTGCGCCAGGACATCTGTACCACATTACTCTTTCTTGGCATCGTTACACCCCCGCCTGGCTGACTCTGCTAACTTCTAGGATGGGTGTGGTCAAGAGGCTGCCTTCTTCCCACCATTTATCAATTCATTTGCAAAAGAACCAGCACTTCCTGATGACAAGCAAAAGAAAATAATTTAAGAATCTGGAGAATGGACATTTGGTGTGTTTTTACATGTGCCAGGAAGTTTAAGCCAAAAATAATTTGCTGAGCACCTTTTAGGTATCAAGTCTAGTCTACTAGACCCTGTGGTAAATAGAGCAGTGAGTGAGCTGATAGACAGCCGACGTGCTGTGGATGTGAGGCGGGGTTTCACCAGAGATGAGATTGCCGAGGTGGCTGGTGGAGCCCTGAATCTGGAGGGCTTTGAACGCTTCAGACAGCATTTTCCAGGGGATATTCATGGGTGTTATAGGGAAAGCAAGTCTATGTTCAAATAAACTTGCGAAATAGGACTTTTTAAAAAAGAGTGAGTAGGTTTTTGCCTGGTTTGGGTGGGTTTTTTTCTTGCAAGACTCGCCAGCCTTTGCTATGCTCACAGGCATTGTGAATCCCCGAAAGGAGCAAGACAGAAGACAGTATTTCTCAGATTTGCCTGACTGGGGAACCTCCTTTTTTCCCTTCATACAATGCATCTCCCAGGATGGCGTTTCTCAGCAGACACCCTGTGAGATGCCGGCCTTCCACTGAGATGATTTCAGCTGCCAAGTGCCAAGATTGGGTGGGCATTTTTTTTTTAAGTACACTCTGGAAACAAATGTAGGCGATGGACTGGGAGGGGGAGAGGCTGGAGGCAGGGAAACCTGCTGATGGTAATGGTTGCTAATGTCTGTTGGCGGCACTGTGCAAAGAACCTGACGTCCATCATCTGGTTGAATCTTCCTAACAGCGCACTCAGGTAGGCGGTGCTGTTACCTGCACTTCACAGATGAGGACAGTAAGGCTTGGAATGGTCAAATCGTGGGCCTGGAGTAACCCGGGGAGTAAATGGGAGAACTGGGGTTCTGTCTAAAACTGTCTAACCCCAGAGGCTGCCTCCTGAGCACTCTGCTGCACTGACACCCAGCAGGAATGGAAATAGCCCAGGCCAGAGGTGACAAGCAGTGAGGACAGTGGGGCGGGAGAAGATGGTTCCCCCGAAGTAGAAAGGCCAAGCATAAGAGAAGCAGTACTGGGGGGAGTGGTGTAGGAGAGCGGGGTGTCTACATAGAGGGTAGCAGCCTGTGCACCAGTGTGGTGGGGCTGGGCTCCCCTCTCCCTGGTCACCTCTTCCTCTTGATGAACGGTGTGAATTGAGGGGTGGGGGGCTGTTCCCCTTTACCCCACACACTTCCTATAAGCCATGAAGGGGAAAAAACATGGTGACCTTGCCCATCCCTAGGCAGCACCCCCAACTCCCCGGTAGCCACCAGCTGAAGAAGGGTCACCAAGCGTGGGTTGGCCCTCATGCCCAGCTAATGGCATAGGATCTGGAAAGCCGCAGTGTCATTCTATCCCAACGTGTTCTCCATGTGCCACCAGGGAATCCTCCACCAAGTCCCTGGGCCCACTTTCCCCTCAGGCTGCCCCGACAAGTTCCATGCAGGGCACCAGGGACCCAGGGACAACTGGGACACAGGGGAACCCTCCACCAAGTCCCGGGGCCCTCTTTCCCCTCGAGCTACCCAGAGAGGTTCCATGCAGGGACCCAGGGACCCAGGGACAACTGGGACACAGGCCCTGCCCTCTAGGAGTAGTGGGGCAGGTTCAGAAAACAAGTTCTAAGGCAGATTTGAGATCTGAAGCGTCACTCCCACTCAGTAGAGCCCTATATCAGCGCTGTCCAAGGAAAACATAATGGGAGCTTCATACAGGAGTCACATATGGAATTCTGAATGTGAAACATAAGCAGATGAAATTGATTTTAGTATTATGAACCTAATATATCTAAAATATCATTTCAACATGTAATCAATCTAAAAGTTATTACTGAGGCGTCTGACATTCTTTCCACGTGCTGAGTCTCTGAAGTCCAATGTTTTGCATTTACAGCACATCTTTTTTTGTTTTGTTTTGAGACAGAGTCTCGCTCTGTCACCCAGGCTGGAGTGCAATGGCACGATCTCGGCTCACTGCAACCTCCGCCTTCCAGGTTCAAGCGATTCTTCCACCCCAGCCTCCCGAGTAGCTGAGATTACAGGTGTGCACCATCATGCCCGGCTAATTTTTGTATTTTTGTATAGATGGGGTTTCACCATGTTGGCCAGGCTGGTCTTGAACTGCTGACCTCACGTGGTCCGCCCGCCTCGGCCTCCCAAAGTGCTGGGATTTAGAGCACATCTTAATGTGGACCGGCCACATGGGACATTGGCTCCTGTTTTGGCTGAGGCAAGTCTGGATTTTGTCCAGTTAGATGTATCTTTGTGATGTATCTTGTTAGATGTATCAGAAAGATACGTCTAACCTGAGTGATACATTCTGACCTGAGTGATGGAATGGGCAGAAAACAACCGGAAGCCTCCTGGGGATTGCTGTGGGTCCACGGCCTGGGTCTCGCGTGAATTTTCACTTTCCTTACTCGGCCTCCCTGTCTCCCACGCATGCGAGAGCATCAAGACAGGCAGGCTGTTGAAAGGACACTGCTGGGCTTTCAAGATAAAGGGTTTGAGCGGAGAGCTGAGAAGTCTCTGCTCTACCAGTTTTGATTCAAATCCTGATTTCAGAAGCCAATCATTTTGTACAAATTGTATTTGTTCATCAGACATTTGTTGAGCAGATTTTTTCCCCAAGTACCACAGAGCCTGCAGGCACAGGGATGAGCCCCCTTCGAGACGGACCTGTAAAAGGTTCCATGGGCGCAGGGGTGAGGGACCACATAGCAGGAGGCACGAGGCAGCATCCGACCTGACGGGCTCTTGAAGGACAGGCACACGTTTGCCAGGCCAGTCTGGCTGGAGCAGCTCATTCCACCTGGAGGGCGGGCAGGAAACAAGGCATGGGTGAAGGTTGAGAAAGGTCTGTGTGGGGCACAGTGGGGTCCCGGTCTTAGGGGACATGCAGTGCCGGCCCCGAGCCTTGAGCGGGCGCCCAAGGACAGGACAGGGCGTGAGAGGTCTGGAGAGGAGGTGGGCTGGCCCTATTGCACCTGGGAAGGGCCCCCAGCCTGTGTGGAGCATAGTGGAGGGCGGAGCTGGGGGCCCTGTTTGGAAATGATTGCAGTAACCAGTCTGGAAACAAGGCTAGAAGGAAAGAATGAGCAGACGAGATGGCTTCAGAAGGTGGACAGTGGGGGTGAGGCGGGAGGCGTCGAGGATGGCCCTCTGGCTCTGGCTCTGGCTTGGGTGACTGGGTGCCTTCCCCCAGGCCATGTGTAGAAATGCATTGAGCCTTCTCAGTGCGTCCTGATGTTTTAAGTTTCCACTTTAATGCAGCTGCAGAGACTGCGTCCCACCCGACCGCCTCCCAAGATACAGCGCTCGAGGCCCGTGAGTAACCGGTGGTTCTGCCCTCCCCACCTAACACTGCCTGAGCCATTCTCCCCTCAGCCTGACTAAACCTCCAGAGTTTGGACCCTCCTGCCTGGCAAAAGGAAACTGGGAATTGGGTTTTTCAGCTTCCCTCTCTGTGTGGCATGAACTTGAGCTTGCATTTTCTGGGCTTCTCTCGCTTTTTTGTGAATTAGTTTGGTGATTTGCAGCTCAGAGCCATAGGTAGCAAGGGGGCCGCTGTGTGGTGTGTGTGCTGTGTATGCATCCTTTGAGCAAGCCTCACAGGGTGAGCAAGGGGTTGAAAACCTTCCTCCATACCCCTGTTCCTCACAAAGGAGGCAGAAGTCCGGGGGCAAGGGTCTCATTCCTGCCAGATCTGGGTCTGGAAATGCATTTGTACCTTCCCATGGGTAGAGGCTATGTCCAGAGAATACGGAGCCCGCTCATATGGAGACAGGTACCGCTCCCTTGCCAGGCCTTCCCTGGAGATCCACCTTCCCATGTAAAGTGCCAGGTAAGGGGAGTGGTGGTGTACGCCTCTAGTCCTAGCTACTCGAGAGGCTAAGATGGGAGGATCACTTGAGCCCAGGAGGTTGAGGCTACAGTGAACTATGATTGTGTCATTGCACTTCAGCCTGGGTGACAGAGCAAGACCCTGTCTCTTTAAAAAAAAAAAAAAAAAAAAAGCCAAGTAAGGATGGAGAAGCAGGACAACATGTGATAAAGCCACCGTCACCTGGGAATGGGGTGGGAGGTGAGAGAGATCTGTCCATGGAAAAAGATTGGGTCTGGGTCCCGTGTTAAGCATCGGTGGAGCCGTTTTCCATGGTAGGTCAGATTTCGGCCTTGCTGAGCCATGTGAACTTTGGCAGGTCCTTTGAAAGTGGGAAACCTTCCAGGACCTTTTGGTGAGGGCTGTTTACCAAGAGAAAAGTTTCTCCATCTACCATTCAGTGTGGCCACCACTCTGTGGCCAACCAGAGAGTACCCCACAACCCAGTGTCCTAGCCCTCCCACCCTCTGCAATGCACATGTTCAAATCCATCTTGTGAAGGCCAAGAGGCCGGGGCATGCAGGTGACCAGGTGGACTGTGTCTGTTCACCTGGGGAGATGCACCCAGCATCCACCGGGTAGCTGCTCTCTGGGTGGATGTTGGCCATTCTGTGGCATAGGTTTCCTTTCCTTCCCTTACCTGCTGTGGGTGGGAATTAGAGGGCTAGAGGGGAGGCCTGGGGGACTTAGATACCTTCCCCTATGACCGTCGTGAGTCCACACTCCCAGCCACATGTGACAATGGATCCATCGCGTATCCCCAGTCACACTGTGGTTGGCCCAAAACCCCATCGGCACAGCTGGCAAGGAGCTAGAATATGTCTGCTCACTGTCACTGGAAAGAAGACAGAAGCAGCAACAAGAAACTGCTTTGGGGGACAGGAGGCCCCTTCTAAGCAACCTTGTGCGACTAGTGAGAGTTTCAGTATAGTCCTTAACAGCACGGATTTGGGAGGCCGACAGAGCTAGGCTTGAATGCTAAAGTCGTGTGACTCTGGCAAGCACTGAGGCTCTCTGAGTCTGATTTCACCTCCGGGGCTGTGCCCTCATTCCTAGAGGGGTTTCATGAGAAGGAAAGTGGATGACATTTGTAGAACACACACAGTAACAGGTTTTTTTTGTTTTTTGTGTTTTTTTTTGAGACGGAGTCTCGCTCTGTCACCCAGACTGGAGTGCAGTGGCCGGATCTCAGCTCACTGCAAGCTCCGCCTCCCAGGTTTATGCCATTCTCCTGCCTCAGCCTCCCAAGTAGCTGGGACTACAGGCGCCCGCCACCTCGCCCGGCCAGTTTTTTGTATTTTTTTAGTAGAGACGGAGTTTCACCGTGTTAGCCAGGATGGTCTCGATCTCCTGACCTTGTGATCTGCCCATCTCAGCCTCCCAAAGTGCTGGGATTACAGGCTTGAGCCACCGCGCCCGGCCAACAGTTCTTATTTTTATTTTTATTTTTTTCTTTGAGACGGAGTCTCACCCCGTCACCCAGGCTGGAGTGCAGTAGCGTGATCTTGGCTTATTCACACCATTCTCCTGCCTCAACCTCCCAAGTAGCTGGGACTACAGGTGCCCGCCACCACGTCCAGCTAATTTTTTTGTATTTTTAGTAGAGATGGGGTTTCACCGTATTAGCCAGGATGGTCTCAATCTCCTGACCTTGTGATCCGCCCGCCTCGGCCTCCCAAAGTGCTGAGATTACAGGTGTGAACCACCATGCCTGGACAACAGTTCTTATTCTTAACAGGTTTTTGCATCTTACAGCTTCTAAGGAACAGCCCAGTTTATTAATAACCATCACTTGCCTAGGATTTTATAGTCAGCAAATCATTCTTAGGTACCTCATCCCAGCTGCGCCTCACAGTAGCTCAGTGAAGTAGGCACTGTCACCACCCTGTTTAGCAATGAGCAAACTGATGCTTGGTAACTTAACCCAGGTTCCTCAACTGCAAATAAGGTCATCTGGACTCTAGAACCTGTAGTCTTGCCAGTATTCCAAGCTCTCTGGACCCTCCGTCTTCTGCTTGGGACCAGAAGAGTTTCAGCTTTCGGTTTGTTTTGGATTTTAGAATATTTGCATGATACTTCCTGGTCGTGTGCCCCTAATCCAAAATCTAGAATCCTCCAGTGAGCGTTTCCTTTAGCATCATGTTGGGGCTCAAGAAGTCTTGGATTTTGGCGTGTTTCAGATCTCTGATTTTCAGATTAGGGATGCTCAACCTATATAAAATGCTGGGAGAAGGAAAAAAAAATTCAGTCAAGAAAAAAAGTAATGAGTAGTGGCTGAACTGTCTGCGGAATCTCCAGTGCCATGTTAGGTCTGGCAGAGACACAGAGGAGAAGAGAATTAATATTCATTGAGCACCTTTTCTGGTGCCTAGGACTGTGCTGGGCACTTGTGTAATTACTGTCTCATTTGTCCAGCCCAGAGCACGCAGATGCCATCTCCCTAATTTGTAGCCAACACCACAGAGATGATGACAGGCCTGATGATAAGTCCTGCCTTTGAGCCCAGCTTGCCTCTCTCCACTGTCTCTTTGTTTTCTACCAAACAGCCTCCCCTTAAGCCAAAGTCAGCAGCAGGTAGCTCTCAGCATTCCCCTTTGAGGCTTGGCATCCAAGGCAGGCACAGAATCTTGAAAGTCATGATTCAGGCCGGGTGCGGTGGCTCAAGCCTGTAATCCCAGCACTTTGGGAGGCCGAGACGGGCGGATCACGAGGTCAGGAGATCGAGACTATCCTGGCTAACACGGTGAAACTCCGTCTCTACTAAAAAATTACAAAAAACTAGCCGGGCGAGGTGACTGCGCCTGTAGTCCCAGCTGCTCGGGAGGCTGAGGCAGGAGAATGGCGTAAACCCGGAAGGCAGAGCTTGCAGTGAGCTGAGATCCGGCCACTGCACTCCAGCCTGGGCGACAGAGCGAGACTCCGTCTCAAAAAAAAAAAAAAAAAAAGAAAGTCATGATTCAGGGAAGGATCACTCCCCTTGGAAGAGTTCAAGTATTGGAGACAGCAACAGTGGACTCTGTGTTTTCTCACCGGTGTGGGGATCTGTGCAGATTGGGGGGTGGGCCGCCACATCCATTGGCAACCGAGGACTCGGGAGACAGACGCTGTGAGAGACACTGAGCAGCAGCTGCCTCAGGCTCTGAGCTAATGCAGGAGGTGACTAGCCTGGTGCTAGCTTTGGCCGAACCTCCTGGATTGATGGCATGCTGAATAGGCGGGATGCCTAGGAGAACCAGCTCTCCTAGGCTTGGAAGTCAGAGAGGCCTGCTCTGGTTTGAATTACAGCTTGGCCACTTCCTGGCTGTGCGACCTTAGGCAGGATCCTCACCTTCTCTGAGCCTTAGTTTCATCATCTGTAAAATGGGTTTAACAATAGAGGTTGTGTATGTATAGCGCCTAGCACGGTCCCTGGCGTGTCCCCCGAACGTATTCTGCCAAGCAGCAGCACTAAGAGACCAATTTGGGAGTCACAGAAGGTTTATGCTTTCTGGGCCCCTAAGGACCATTTCTTCTACGTGCATTTATGCAAGCATTTCCAGTGGACCCTGCTACAGACTAGGTGGGAACTGGGGAGACTCGGCATATAGAACCCCCTGAGGGCCTCGAAGAGGACAGCCTACCAAGCTCCCATGTCAGGAGCCATCAGCCTCCAGTGTGGCTTTGCTGGGTCACGTAGCCACAGACGTTCCAGACAGAAGTGCAGCCGTTGGCCCGGGGTAGCAGGGGCGGGGGAGGGTCTAGCCATTCAGCCTTTCTGGAAGGAGTTTTGTAGCCTGGCACCTGTGGCTGGAGTTCAGATGTTACCCGAGGATTTGGGTTTTCTTTTTCAAAACAAGAAAAAGGAAAGAGCAGAAGAAAACCATGCCAGTGTCTCCTGGACGAAGGGAGAGGCAGACTGCCGTCGGCCTGCGTATGAAGCGCTTTATAAGCTCTGTATTTATTATTTCTTGCTCACCATTAAAATCAAATGTACTCAGTGCTTTTGTATTCAATACACATTTAACCCTGCCGACTTAGATTTCTCAGGTTTTAAATCCAGTGGGGAATTGGCTGGCTTCCCAAGTTTCCCCTCCAGTCCCCCTTGAACAGAGCTGGAAATCTCTGTTTAGCATTTTCTCCCCTGGTGCGGCTGGGATCCTCACACTGGTGGGGCCAGTCACTGTTGTGTGTGCCTGTGGGTTTCTTCCTTCATCCCCAATACCCACCCTTCCTAAGCACCCCAGAAAGATGGGTGTGATGGCTGAAATATGACAAGACTTGTCTGCATAGACTGTGATTCAGGCTTCATTAATAAACCGTTTTGTCTGTATGTGTCTGTGCCTGGTTGTGGTCCGCCGCCATGCACGTGCGAGGGTGCGTGTGTGAGTGTGTGATTCATACATGTGCCTTCACCTCTTGCGCGTGCCTCTGTGAGTGTGCATTTCTGAGATAGCGTTTACATGGAAGTCTGGAGGCCTCAAATATATCTCGGGATGGTCATGTCTGTGAGTGTAATTTTGTGTCTGGCTTGTCCACACCAGTCAGGTGTGTGTAACTCTGGGTAGGTCAGCAGCTGTGCTGGTGACCAACCGCCTCTGGGTCTGGCGTGTCTTTCTCTCCCTCCCCAGCCTCCACAGCTCCGGCTCTGTGCTCCCCACCCCCGCCCCTCCCCCACTGCTCTGTCTGTTTTATCATCCCTAATGAAGCAGTCTCCTCCACCGATCCCGCTGATTGCCAACCCATTCCTTTTGTTTGTTGGCGCTGAGCCATTCAGCGGCACTCTGACAGCTCAGCTCGTCTAATTAGCTCTGTTGTTCTTTTTCCCCATGTTTCACCACGTTGCAAGTTCAGTTGAAGTTGCCACAAACTTAATCCCCCCATTTCAGCCATAAGTTCACATTCTTAACCCGCCTTTATTGTAGCAAGGAGCAGCCCTGTGCAAGGACGAGCTGACAGGCCTTAAAGTCTGACCTTTCCTGAAAGCTCTGCCCCAGGGCCCCCCAGGGCAGGGGCAGAACTGCTCCTTCACCCTACCCACACTCCCGCCTTTTGTGGGGAGAAGTTGGGGGTGGGGATCATTCCAGCCAGGTGACCCTGTTGACCAGCTGCCAGAGCTGGGGAAACCAGTTCAGAGTTAGAAGAGGTGTGGGGATATCCACTTGTTTATTCAGCACATGTTGCCTGAATGTGAGCTGTGTGGCAGGCACAGTTCTAATCACGATGGTACTAGCAACGTCATTATGCACTTCTCAGATACCGAGCAGCAATGTTCGCTTGTTTCTAAAAATCTTGCTGAGCGACCATGACATACCAGGCAGTCCACAGAATGTGAGGCAGGGATAAGAGAATCCTAAAACTCATCTTCTAACTCAGAGACACCCACTCTTCGTCTTCCTTTTGTTGTTGACAAGAAGGGACATCCAGGTCACAGAGGAGCAGGATGAACATTTATTGAGCCCCCACTGTGTACCATACCCCATGCGGGGACTTTCCCTGTATCCGGTCTTCACAATCACCCCATAGACGAAGACAGCCAGTTTGGTGGAATGCCTTTGGTGTTGACCACATCCCTGATCTGCCAAACCAGTCTGAGATCAGACTGGCCACTCCACAGGAAAAACTTTGGTTAGATCAGACGTGCACCCACCTGAGGGGTTGACAAGACTCCAAAAGACTTGTCCTTTATGCAGCCAGCTTCTGTCATCTGTGTTCCTAAGCCATTGTGCCGTGTCACCCACAAGCTTCTGGGGGGGGGCGGGAGGTGTGATGTTCAGGAGAAAGGGCGGGCAGGAAATGGAGTGTGTGCCTGCTCTCCTTCCCTGTCTTGTCCTGGAAACTCAGCAACTGTGGCATCCCATCCGTGGAGAAAGCAAGCCCCCTGCCCCAGCAGGCTTGGTTGTTTTTATCGGCAATGAAATTCAGAGACAGACTTTCTCAGCTTAGCTCTCAACCCATTCCTCTCAGGCACTGGGAGTGTACAGAGATGGCCGTGCCAAATTAAAGCCGTGGAATGTCAATTGGACCAAATGAGTATACTTCTAAGGGTACCTACAAATTCTCAGCCTAACATCCATCACGGGCTCTGGCAGGGGATGAGGGTGCCTTTCTCTGTGGGCCCTCATCTTGGTTTTCAGAGGCAGTAGGTAGGAAAAACCCATCCCGCTGTTGCAGCAGCAGCTGTGGAGTTACGAAGCTGGGTCCTTCCTGATGTGCCCACTGGAGACCCTCCCACTAGGTCTGCTCAGTGCATGTAGCTACACAAGATGGGCAGCATCCAGGCTGAACCCTGCTGGGAGGACCAGCATGGGGATGCCCTGGGAAACAGAAAGACAATTTGTAGTGGCATTCTCTCATGCCTCTCTTATTTAGAGAGGAAAATAAGCACCCTGTGATTCTGGTGTAAAAAGAGCAAACTAAGCATGTGCACCCTAAAAACAGGTGTGGGCACAACCTTTTCTTGCTACAAAACCAGCTTCTGGGCGTCAGAGGAAGATGAGAGGGAATTGTCATTGCTAAGGGCCTCTTGGTTCTGGGTCCTATGTAGACATCATCTCATTGGAGCCTCACCGCAACCCTGCAAGGAGGCCAATGGAACTATCCTCATCTTGCAGATGAAGAAACCGAGCTTTCCAGGAGCACCTTTCTGATTTAAATAGGCCACAGAATTCCAGTTAATGTGTCTATCTGCTGCCTATTAGATGGTGATGCTTCTGTGATAGGCTGGGCTATTGTACCCTGTAGCTTTGAAATTTCCTAAACATTTTTGGGGGGTGGGGGCGTTTATCCAAATCTTCAGAATGTTCCCCTATGGCTTTTCCAACTCACTCTTTCTTGGGGTCTCCCCCTGTACTCCTCTAGGTGCGCCCACCTCGTCCTCATGTTGTTAAGAGACCAAAGAGCAACATCACAGTGGAAGGCCGGAGGACATCTGTGCCAAGCCCTGAGCAGTGAGTATCGCGCCTCTCCCCTCTGTCTGCGGGGCCAGCACTTTGTGGAGCTCCAGCGTGTAGCCTTGGCCTTTGTGAGGCTTCCCCGGGGCCCCCAGTGGGTGTTTCACAAAGGGGTCATTCAGGGAACAAGGCTTGATCTCTTACTCGGTCTGGTTGTCACACCAGCGGAGGCCCCAGAGGCCAGGGAACCAGGCACTTGGGCAGGATTTCGAGTGCTGGGGTCCAAAGGGTACTTGGCTGGGTTCAGAAGAAGGTCCTAGGCCTCTTGTGCTGAACATACCGAGTCAGTAGGTGAGGGTTAGAACCTGGTGAAGGAGGCCAAGTGTTGAACTGCGTCCACCCACCTTCCTAGGCCTCCATGGCCGAGATCTGTACACAGAACTGCCCTTATCCACTGCCCCAGCCCCACCAGGACCCTTTGCCCACCTGTGCTGGAGCATTTATGTTACTGTGGTTTTTCTTCTTTTTTTTGAGACAGAATCTTGCTCTGTCGCCCAGGCTGGAGTGCAGTGGCCGGATCTCAGCTCACTGCAAGCTCTGCCTCCCGGGTTCACACCATTCTCCTGCCTCAGCCTCCCAAGTAGCTGGGACTATAGGCGCCCACCACCTCGCCTGGCTAGTTTTTTTGTATTTTTTAGTAGAGACGGGGTTTCACTGTGTTAGCCAGGATGGTCTCGATCTCCTGACCTCGTGATCCGCCCGTCTCGGCCTCCCAAAATGCTGGGATTACAGGCTTGAGCCACCGCGCCCGGCCTACCGTGGTTTTTCTTACACATCTCCCTGAGATGCGGAACTCCCTGGGTGTTATGCCCGGCACTTCCTGTAGGACTGGCCTAGAGTCACCCGCCCAGGAGGCGTGGGGTAGATGAGGTGAATGAGGGAGGCAGAAAGACAAGCAGTGGTCTGAGGTGGAGCTGCCTGTGGGGGGCGAGGCAGAAGGCTGCAGACAGCCCCGAGTCCAGACCAGAGCCGTCTGCAGAAGGTAGTGATGCTTCCCTTTGTCCACAAGGCGCACAGCCCTCGGTCTCTATCCACACAACTCAGTGGCTATACCCTGGCTTCCTGTGATGCCTTGAAAAAGTGCATGAGTTCATCTTGGTCTAGGATTGTTGAAGGAGTCAGAAAAATTACCCCAGGGATCCTGAAGTCATTGGGGTGGAAAGGGGAAGGCCCCCGTGTCTGGCTGGCTCTCAGAAAATGTCTCAGGGAAAGAAGGTAAGGGACATGGCAGGTCCTAGACAGAATTGGAGTGAGAAGGGGGAAAAATGATTTCAAACTGTCAACTGAAACTAACCCAAGTTTCAGTTCACTTCAGCTCCCTGGGATTCTCTGGTTAATAGTAAGGGGAAGGAACCAGCCCACCCAGACAGCCCTCAGACTTTGCCCAGAAAGTCCTGGAATTATGTGTGCGTTTGTGTGTGTGTGTGTGTGCACGTGCTTGCACACAAAGATGCTAAGTTATGAGAAATTTGGAAGAGAGGACTCCTGAAGTTGGATTAAGTTTAACTTTTGCTCTGCACAATAGCCTGGTGGGAACATTGAGGGATGGATTATGATTGCCCCCTTGTGGAGAGAATGCTGCATGGCACCTGAGTGCCTCCGAGTAAAGATTCTTCCTTAAGGGGATGAAATTTGTCACATTTCTTTAAAGTCACACCTTTAAAACTGGACTAAGCCTTTTAGACACTGTACCAGGATACAAGGTCACAGGCCTGTTGATATTGAGATGTAAACCCAGAATATTCTCGCATTACACAGAAACACCATTGCAACACCAGCTAACACTCCACATCCTACAGAAAAGCATTACCCATTTTGTGGCCAAGTTCCCGATAAGAGGCTGGACCTCTTCATCACATTGACTTACGCCGTTGCCTTTCCATACTGGGCAGAGGGGCTGACTCCGCAGTGTGTGCCAAACAGCCAGTGTCTGATGATCCCATTTTCCTGCTTATCACCTGAGCCGTGTCAGTATCACTTTCGGGTTTGTTGGTTGGTTAGTTGTTTCAATATGCCCTGTTTTCTACTTTTGTTGGGAAATATTTGGAGTTGAAATAAACCAGTGGGAGCTTGGGAGCCAGTCTGGTGGTTGACAAACTAACAGTGATAGAAAACAAATGACAGGTTTTCTGTAAGCATATGTCACAGCGGCTCGGGCCCACAAGGAGATAGAGGGGTACGTTTCAGGACATCATTCCAAGGGTTTGTGTTCAAGTGTGTTTAACGAGGAAGGGGAGGTGGTTCTCCCAGAATGCCAGTGGCATTTCTGGTGCAACCCGGGTGTTTTTCTACGCCTCTTCCCATGCTGCCTCCCCACCCCCCCCCCCCCACTGTGCTCCGCCCCTTCCAAATGCCATGTCACAACAGCACTTGGATGTGTTTTTCTCAACTGTCATCAGCTCCAGCTGGCAGGACCAACTTCTTGAAACACAGGAAGCATCCAGCGGAAAATATTTTAATAAAACAGACTCCTCATAAAATATTGTTCGGGGGAGGGGGGAAGAAACCGACTCCACCAATCTGTCGGCATTGTATTGGGAGATGTAAGAAGCCAGGCCGGCAGCAGGGGCCCGATCCTAATGGGCCTTTGTTGGGTGGTGGTTCCGTGTTGGGCACACAGACTCGGTGCCTGGCCCTTTAATCTGGCCTGGGTTTTCTTGAATCACAGATCTTCATCTCCACTGGGAATATCAAAGTGCTTGGGAAACTTAGAGGACCAGGGCGGCAGAAGGGGATGCAGGATCTTTGAAGTGGAGGGAAGAGATCCATTCCTCCTGACTTCTTGCCCCAACTCTCACTTCCAATTGCACATTAAATAATCCCAGCACTTTGGGAGGCCAAAACGGGCGGATCACCTGAGGTCAGGGGTTCGAGACCAGCCTGGGCAACATGGTGAAACCCCGTCTCTACTAAAAGTACAAAAATTAGCCGAGTGTGTTGGTGCACCCCTGTAATTCCAGCTACTCGGGAGGCTGAGGCACAAGAATCACTGGAACTGAGGAGGCGGAGGCTGCCGTGAACTGAGATCACACCACAGCACTCCAGCCTGTGCAACAGAGACTCTGTCTCAAAAATAAAATAACCAGCTCTATGGACAGCAAGATGGTGCTGATTGAGAGCAAGATTGTCTCCTGGAATAGCTGACTCTCTGGCCAGTCCACCCGTGAAGTTCATTTCTTCCTTCTCAGCGGATGTCCATCCCTCCGTCGTTCCATCTGTCCATTCATGCATTCATTCATTCAGCAAGTAACTTTGAAAACCTACTAGGCACAAGCACGTAATATTTTTTTTAAAGGAGGCCTTAAAAGGGAGTTCCCATGCTGACTCTTGGTTGACTTGCATTTTCCCAAAATGAAATTTTCCTGTATCAAATTTTCTTTCTGAATCAATGGTAGGTTTCCTAGCCCCTTAAAACTGGCCGTTGACAATTGGAAGAAGACTTCAAAAAGATTTCCGGGGGAAACATTCCCTCTACTTTTCAGGTGACATTACTTGGTTAATATTCAGTTACTAAATCTCTTCAAGAAGTACTGGCTACTTCCATTACTATTCAGAGCACAGCTAGCTGATGGGATGCCTGGGGCTTCCCGGGGGCAGGGATCAGGGTAGGAGGGATCCTGCAGGAGAGGCTGTGGGTTAGACACCAGTCAGCAGGGGGTACAGTGGAGCACCCATTGATTTCTAGGCCCTCTTGGGCTAGCATCGTTTCTTCCAGAGTGGGAGCTCAGGCTCAGAACGTGGATTTGACCCGTCTTCCCAAGGTCACCCAGTTGAAAAGTGACCGGGCCAGCATTCACAATTCTTGATTTCATTCTCTCCATGACACTCTTGATGCTGTCCTTGGAACGGGGCCCTTGAAGGTCCATCTTTAGTCTGGCTTTGCCCAGAGAGAGCTCCACATCCTAAAATGAGATGGCCTGTCTAGCAGGCCACCCTTCCTCTCTGGCTCCCTGAAGGCTGGAGTTCAGTCTGAACTGGATCTGTTCAGTCTTCTTACCACCAAAGAAACCATGTGCGCTCGTGCCTGACTGTTTCTTCTTGGGGAAGGAAAGAGAAATGACATTTACCAAACATCCCTTAAGATTGTCAAAGGTATTAGCTGGGCATGATGGCGTGTGCCTGTGGTCCCAGCTAGTTGGGAGGCTGAGGCGTGAGAGTTGCTTGACCCCTGGGGAGTTGAAGGTTGCAGTGAGCTGAGATCATGACACTGCAGTCCACCCTGGGCCTCAGAGTGAGACCCTATCTCAAAAAATAAAATAAAAAAGATTGTCAGAGGTAGGTGGTAGCTTTCCCATTGAACAGACAGAAAAATTGAGGCTCAGAGAGACTTTCAGTAACTTGCCCAAGGTTTCTCGGGGCCAGAAAATGGTAGGATTGGCTGTCTGATGACAGAGGCCTGGTCCATTCTTCTCTACTCTCCAGGCTTTCTGTTAAGACCTAATTATCCTCATGTGCTTCTCTGACTAGTGGGGATGGTGGCTGTGGCAGTGAGGTTCACAGCTTCCCTCCTATTAAAAGTGGGCCGTGGCCAGGTGTGGTGGCTCACGCCTGTAATCCCAGCACCTTGGGAGGCTGAGGAGGGTGGATCACTTGAGGTCAGGAGTTCAAGACCAGCCTGGCCAATATGGTGAAACCCCATCTCTACTAAAAATACAAATAATTAGCTGAGTGTGGTGACACATGCTTATAATCCCAGTTACTAGGGTGGCTGAGGCAGGAGAATCGCTTGAACCCAGGAGGTGGAGCTTGCAGTGAGCCGAGATCACACCACTGCACTCCAGCCTGAGTAACAGGACAAGACTCTGTCTCAAAAAAAAAAAAAAAGAAAAAAAAAGAAATAAAACAGGCTGTGGTGGTTTCTGCGGGCTGTGCACGGCTGCTAGGCCCCAAGTTATTTTCCTTTTGGCCTGCCAGATATAGGGGAATTGCCCATCCAACTGGATGCTTGGAAAGAGCCAATGGCAGGCTCTGAAAGGCTGCGTTGTGGTCTGAGCTGC